CAGGATCTCGAGAGTGGAGGGGAGCGTTCAAAACTTGGGATCCAGCGATGACAGCAACGCATGGTTATGCATCACATTTGCCACCAGTCTTTTTTCTCTCTCAGTTCCTTTTGCTATTTCTAGTTATTTGCTTTGTTTGCTTTCTCATTCTATTGTTTCAAGGCGGAGGCGCCTGTAACTAGATTAGTGCTTCTTTTGGCTGACGTTTAGAAGGCACTTTCAGATCACTCCACTCGCAACTGCAACCGCTAAGTGTGACCCGACGAGGGGGAGGGTCAGTCAGTTGACTTGATTCGTATCTCTTATGGTCCAAAGTTCGACGGACTGCGAGGAGTCACCCATACATGGATTTCAGACCCCATGCCACAAACTACAGGGTGGCGAAAAATTACGTGTGCCATAAAACAGGTCCACATTTATTTTTTGCCCACAAAAATTCGGAAGTAATCTCTTGCAGTGAAAATGTTTCGCGTTGCGAGACGCGAAGTCGCTTTCTCCTTGTGAACCACACCCGCAGATCTGTCCAGCGCGAATGCGTACCGCGTCATGACATCCTGCCAAATCTTATATCCGCCGCACTCGAATTCGTTCAGAGCACGAATTTAAATGAATACTGAAGAGTCATGGAAGGAATGACTCAAGATTTAATGTTAATTGGAAAGAGAGGAAAATACGAGGGAGGTATCATCCATGTTCCTGCTAGTCGAACTCCAAAACTTCAAACGCGACTCAACAGAGACGGCAATACCTTCTGAAATCGTACCCATGTGCGTTCTTCTCAATTAAAGGATATGAAATAACTAGGTCAAAAATCATCGATTTCTTGTCAACCACTGGAGCAATTGGAAATTCGGCGTCAACGTGGTTATAGCGAGCATGCGGCGCTCTCCGAACTGTATCCCAAGGAGTATCTGCCTCACATGCCGCGTTACAAAAGTAGCAGTGTTTGGACGTTCAAACCGCGTTGGTTTTTTGCTTTCGTCCAGCATGGGTATTCCCTACATCGTCTCTCTCTCTCGACTGTTGTAATCGATGTGGGGTCAGTTTTTTCCCTTCTGCGTTACGGCCTTTCACGGCCCAACAAAAGATAATTAAAGTCTAGTGTAGAGCGATTGGCAGTTACCACCTCGCTCAAGTGATATTGAAATAAAATAGATACAAAAACTTCTATTCAAAAGAGTGCAATGACACCCTACCTGCAACTTCTCTACTTCAGATACCAGTCGGGACAACTCATGTGGATAACGAAACCGTTGTAGCATTTTCAAATCCGACGTTCGCCTGCTATCCAGTAAAGCCATCAGGGCGTGCATTGTGCAGAAAACCGTTAAATATGCACGCTAAAAAATGAGACGTTATTGTTGGTTACTGGAGGCATAATACAGGAAACAAATCAGAGCCACGTAGCAAGCGAGAAACTGGCAATTTACTATCAGAACAATCGGCGCTATCGCACGATACGGGACATTGTATTTGGTTTTTAAACGAAGAAGAGTGCATGTTAGCCGCGTGGACACCTGAAGAAGCTTTGCGCACACTAGAAACTATATGGTTACGACTTGACGATTGAGAATCGCAAAACGCGCTTCAATATACAAGCTAACGAGGCCAAGAAATCGAAATAAGGTCACTCAAGGGCGCCAACTTCAGCAAACCTAGATATCGATCGCGCAGGAATTCCTCCCAAGCAAAGCGATTAGGTGAGATGATCAGCGATAACAATACACCTTGCTTAAATTGAATCCCACAAGAATAACTACGACAATAGAATACATGGCTTCAAAAAAAGAAAAAATTTAGAGTGAGCCTTCGTTCCAAGATGAAGATAGTGATCCATTTTAAGTGGTATTGTACGTAGTGGCACAATCCACGCATTGGCGCAGCTACCGTGTGCTAAACGATTACAAGGCTTCTGTCAACCAAAGGGTGAGAGCGTAGCTGGAAAAGCACACACTTTGTGTCTTATTGGGACTAAGCCTTTTGAAGAAGATAAAGAAAGAGGAGACTGTGATAGTGTGCACTTGTGAGAGCTCCCAGACATCACTACAAAACGCTGAACCGCCAAGGCTCACGGTTGACAGATGTCCTGGGACCGTGTTAGGCAGTGTTGAGGAAGAAGAAAGACCCCTGGGATTAAACTGATGCTATAGCGCTTCGTAGTGATGGCTTAGCTGCGGAACGACCTGAAAGTGGAAAGGAAAGCAAGAGAAATCTTTGGGAACGCTGAAATTAAGGCCTTAACCTTCAATAAGGTCGGATGTGGTACGATGGCGAGACAGGGCGATCAAAGAAGACAAAACACGCGAGCTAATCCCGGTGTTTTCCTTTAACTTGTTGCGTACCGCGGCGTTTTTCGGCCGGCCGGCGTTACTTAAGCACTGTTCACACCTTGCGCCGTAGCT